AAGAAGCCGCCTGCCAGTGCAGGAGACCTAAGAGATGTGGGTTCAGTCCCTGAGTCGGGAAGATCCCCGGGAGGAGGGCATGACAACCCACTCCAGTATTCTTGCCTGGAGGATCCCCGTGGGCAGGGGAGCCTGGTGGGCTAGAGTCCATGGGGTCGCACAGAGCTGGGCACCATTGAAGTGACTTAGCACGTATTAAAAAAAAAAACAAACAGGAAATGTTGGTATTTGTTAACTATGGCACATCTGGGTGTGAGCTGGATTGTGTCCCCCTCTAGAATTTATATGTTGAAGCCCTACCCCCTCAGAATATGGTTGCACTTCTAGACAGGGCCTTTAGAGAGGTTATTAAATTAGAATAAGGGCTCTCAGATGGCCCGTAATTGAATAAGACTGGCGTCCGATCTATGAGAAGACAGATTAGGACACAGATAGGCACAGAGGGAAGATGGCGTGAAGACCCAGGGAGAAAACACTGCCTACATGTCATAGAGGGGGAAATCTTGACTTTAGACTTTTGGCCTTCAGAGCTGCCAGAAAGCACACTTCTGTGGTTTAAATCCCCTGGTCTGTGATCCTTTGTGACCGCAGCCGGAGCAGGTGGGTGCAGCGCTGTTTCAAATGCCATCACGAACGCGTTAAACTGTCTTGGTCTTCAAGGTCATTAAAACCTTGGTGGCCACTTAGACATTCGTGGACATTTTCCCTTACACTTTGACCTCCTTTGGAAAGCATTTCTGCTTGTTTGTGCACACTGTTTCCTGTGAGCAAAATAAATGTCTTCTGTTGCTAGGAGTATTGAGATCTTGCTTCAGCAGTAATGTTGCTGATACTGTAACCCTTGGAGGGAGTGACTTGGCAAACCCGAGAAAGGTCTGGATGTCTGCTGAGGGACACGCGCAGCTTTCTTGATGCCCAGGCCTGGGTCCTGATCTGATTGTACCTGGAGTGTGTCTGATGCTAAGAACTGATGGCTTCGTAAGTGACCACTTCCGCTTTAGGAAAGGGAAGGCTGCATCATACAGACTTCCCCTGCAGCCTTCCAGGGTCGGGGTCCAGGGCTGGGAAGAGGAGGGGGGAGAGGGCTGTGGGAGCACCCAGGGTGGGGGCAGGGGGCAGGTCAGGAGGGTGAGAGAGGGCTCCCCAGGAGCAGGGGGGCTCCACAGATGGACTGGGCAGTGGCCGGGTGATTTGGGGCCACTTAGTTTTCCAGGGAGACATGCCCTGGAGTTTGGCTGGAGGCGGAAGCAGTTTCAGAGCCTGGACAGTGCGGGGTGAGGGGGTGGAGAGGCAGATTTGCTCAGCCTTTCTTAGAACTTAAGAAGGAGCAGGGTGGGTCTTGACGGAGGGATGGAGGGATCTGGGGATAATCCTGACTTCTGGACTGGTGCCTTGTCCCTGGAGATTCAGATGGATGGGAGCCTGTCTTACCCCAGACTGCCTGGAACTTTCGGTGCCCTCTCCCTGTTTGGAACTCGGGGAGAAGCTGTGTGTGTGTGTTGGCTCCTCTGCCTGCTTGCTCCTGAAGTCTGTTACCTCTTTACCCCGCCACCCCCCTCCCCAAGCAGAGCAAAGTGATGTTCTCTGACTTGCTTTTCCAAAAGCCCTCTCATCCTGCCTCCTCTCCACCGTAACTTCCAATCCAGCCTCCCTTTGCAAGTGGGGAGACCCCAGAGTGGGGTCAGCCACACCCCCCTCTTGGGTGCAATGGGTGCTTTGGGAGGGGATGGGGGCAGGGCACCTCTTTGCACCCTCTGCGACTTACTTTCCAAATCTTTGAAATTAGGGATGATAGCCGTACCCTGGGCACAGGGCTTTTGAGGGATAAAATGGGATGACCTGTGCTGACATCTGTGACGGGCCCCCGAGCTGAGCCTGGCCTTGGTCGGCCTTCCTCCAGCCTTGGCCTTGGTCCTCTTGGGAAGAGGAGCCCAGGGCTGGTCTGGCTGAGCCTGGAGGCCCTGGGCTGCAGGAGGAAGGTGGTGGGGACCCGGGTCCTTGGGGATCTGGGTGGAAACGCTAGAAGGTCTGGCTGGGGGTGGGCCGACCCACCCTGCCCGCTGTGCTGGGGTTTAAAGCCTGGGGTTAAACCTCTAGTAGCGGGGAGGCGGCCCGCCCCACCCCCCCCAAGGAGGCTTTGGTCCTGGGAATTTTCAATCAATGTGAATTACCTTTTTATATCTTGTCTGTAAACGAGCTGGTAAATTGAAAGTGTGTTGTGTGCGTGGCTTACAAAGATTGGCCACGCCGCTGCTCTGCTCTGCTCTCCAGTCTTTATCGCAGAGTGAGACCCCCTCTGGCCTGGCTGCAGGAGGTGGGCTAGTGCCGCCCCACCCCACGCAGGCCTGGGGAGGGTGGTGTGAGCAGACTGCAGGCCCAGGTTCATCCCTTGGCTTCACTGCAGCCTGTGAATGCTGGGGTGTGTGTGCGGGGGAGCGGAATGTGCCGGTGGCTTTCCTGGATCTCCACCTCATGTGCTAAATCTCCTCAGGCATAAACTTTTGTAATTCCAGAGAGCAGTCTTCCTGAGAAGAAGGGCTTTGGCGTGAACATTTTGCTGCCTTGTGTCACTTTTTTGTGTGTGTGCCCAGAAATGTCCAGTGACAGCTGTTGTTTCCTGGACACTTTGGGTGCAGGGAGGTGGTGTTTGCAGAGTGGCCATCTCTGTGGGCTCACTACAGCCTCCCAGGCCTTCCCTGAATGTGCCGTTTGAAAAGTGATGAAAACCACTCTTCTGAAAAATGCCAGGTACTCAGAGCCACTGGATTCTTGCATTGACTCTAGGGGAGGTCTCATCAGTAGCATCTCTGTAAAGAGTTCTGAATTATTTCAGGTGTTGTATTTCTTCCTGGGTGTTCTAAGCATTTGACCCAACAGCCTGCATTTCCTTCTGTCCCGCAGTGGCTCAGCTGTAAAACACCGGCCTGCAAGGCAGGAGACGTTGAGGAGGCTGTGGCTCCCTCCCAGAGTCCGGAAGATCCCTTCGCGGAGGAAATGGCAACCCACTCCAGTATTCTTGCCTGGAGAATCCCAGGGACAGAGGGCCGTGGCGGACTACAGTCCAGGGGGTTGCAAAGAGTCAGACTCGACTGATCACAGAGCACGCATGCACACACGCATGCACGCAGGAAGGGCCCAGGGCTGGGAAGGTGGCCTCTGCTTGCAGCGTCCCAGTGAACCTGCCGACCACCCCCATGGGGGGGAGTGGGGCTGGGAACTCCTGGGTGAATCTCCACCCACCCTGTTTTGCATAGTGGGCGTGACCAAGACTCTGGCCCTTGAAGTGGGTGGGGAAGGAGCATCACCTTCCCAGAAACCTCCAAGGAAAGCTTTCTGCAGGTTGCAGACTTTCTCCCCTCTGACAGGCACAGTTAGTTCAGTTCAGTTCAGTCCGACTCTTTGCAACCCCATGGGCTACAGCACACTAAGCCTCCCTGTCTATCACCAACTCCTGGAGTTTACTCAAACTCATGTCCATTGAGTTGGTGATGCCATCCAACCATCTCATTCTCTGTTGTCCCCTTCTCTTTTTGCCTTCAATGTTTCCCAGCATTGCATCAGGTGGCCAAAGGATTGGAGCTTCAGCTTCAGCATCAGTCCTTCTGTCCTCCCTAAAATGAAGCTTCTGTCATGGGGAGCACCCCACCCCTGCCCCCCACTGCCCCCAGGCAGTCAGGCTCTGGGCAATCTCTCTTCCCCCTGCATCGCGTTTGCCTGTTTCCTACCGAGGGAGGGGCAACTTTTCTCAGGAGGCAGCCACCCCAGATCCGCTGCAGCTGAGGCTTCTTGTGGCCAGGGGAAGAGATGACTCACCCTCTCCTCTGCGCCTTTCTCTCTAAACTGCTGGAGACTTCCTAGATACACTGGAAGGGGCGGGGGCGGCCTTGCCATGTGGCCCAGTAAACCTGAGCATCCGAGAGGGTGCGGGGCCTGGCGAGTCAGCTGACCTCTGCTGGTGCTTGTGACGTAATGGGGGCCCTGCTGCTCCCCCTGCCCCCAACTCAGCTGGAATCAGCCCCCTGGATCAATGACCTTAACTGCTGGGCAGCAGCATTTCTTTAGCAGAGCGCTGATCAAGGCTGGGGTTTAAGAGAGAAAGCTGCCGGCCCTGATCTTCTGGGGGGAGGTGGCTGTGTCCATGGCACGTGGCAGTGTCAGGTCAGAGCAAGTGACTGATGCCCTGAAGGGGTGTGCACAGGTGTGTGTGTGTGTTGGGGGGAAGGACACACACACTTGAGCAGGGGCTCCAGTGATGAGAGGAGCTGGCTGATCCTGCAGGGTGTAGTGGGGAGGCTCCATACGGCCTGGTCAGGACTGGCAAGCGGTTAGACGTGTTGGGATGAAGGCTTGGATGCCGGAGCCCACATGTGTGTGCTTCAAGCCCTGGGGCCAGGACCTCACAGCCTTCATCACACCTGATCCTCACACCTGCCCTGGGATTGTCACCTTTTGGCATCAGTGAGGCTGATGTGGAGATCTGAGGTCACTTTCCCAAAGTCACAGAATTTGCACCCTTCAGGAGGCCAGCACCTCAGCTGCTCTGTGCTGCAGGGGTCTGCAGGGGGGTGGGTGGGGGGCCATCTGGGGCCTGGGGTGCAGGTACCGAAGGGGCGTTTGACTCTGCAGGTGATGGGAGTCTTGGGGGGTCTGGGCGGCATTGTGCCCTGAAAGTCTGTGATTGCAGCAGAAAGGGTGGTTGCCTAAGAGCTGGCTATGCCGGGGCCGTGACATGCCAGGCCTGCCTGCCCACAGCACCCCAGCGGAGGACAGTGAGGATGGGAGATACTTGGGGATGGAGTGGGCACTCCTCATTTGGGGGCTGTTGGGAGAGGCCAGGGGCAGACAGATGGAAGGGAGGCTCTTGTTTCTGTGTCTCATTAAGCAGGCGATGATTGAGCAGTTTCATGGGCTGGCTGGCCTGAGGTGAGGAGGCGACTGTGATGGACGTGCCAACTCTGAGTGGGCGAGAGAAGGGTGCGGTCATGAGGCTGGAGGGCCACTGCTCTGCCCACTGCCCTGCACGCTCCCGGAGAGGCCTGGCGCCCTCAGGGAGGCGGTCAGCGCTGATCGCTGGCATGGCGAGGCGGGTGGGGGCCCAGGGCTGCAGTGGCATCTGCAGGACGTGGTGCCCAGCCCCGCCCGCTGTGCACTCGGCCTGGGGCCCCGCACTTGATCTTCAACGAGAGCCTCTTGGAGATGCGGAGGGTTGGGTGAGGGCCACGTGCTGCTGGCCAGTGGGCACGCTGTGAGGTGCGTCAGTCCAGGGGCTGGAGGTTGGGGTGAGCGTGGGCGGGGGGGTGGTCTCAGGGGGGTTCCCAGGGTCATGGCTGGTGTAGACAGCGGGATGTCTCTTGTCTTTTGCTGGATTCAAGGGTCTGAAGGACCGGGGAGGAGAGGCTGTGTTGAAATAATGACTGTGGTGGCAGTTCTAGGAGAGTTCGGCCGGCCTGGAGGCTGCGGGCAGAGAATGTTCGAGGCCAGGATGGCGTTAGCTCAGCGTGTGGCCTTGTGGGAGGAGGCCAGTGAAGGACAGGACCGCTGCGGGGTGAGAGGTGGGGATGACCAGGATGGACTGAGGACTCCCCCGGCCGCCTCCCTGTGGTGGAATGGAAGAGAGACCCCGGCATGGTGCCCAGAGCCCCGCTCTGCGCCCGCCTCGTTCATGAGCCAGCTGCTTGTGTCTTTGGTGCTTATCGGACTTTGTTGTTTGTAGAGGTTTTTGGGCCACCTTTGATCCACCTGGTGCCCAGAGCTGGCGGGTGGAACCTCCTTTTCCAAATTTAGAAAGTTTTGTGCTGGTCCGTCACCAGGCAGATTCACAGTTCAGCAGCACTCCTAGGGGGCCAGAAACGACAGGAGGGGGAGACTCAGTCAAGATTTTGGGTCCTGTAGATCACCTGCCCATGGCTGATTTATTCATCATTCCCGCCTTGGTCCATCTCTCTTCATGGAAGGTTCCAGGGCTGGTGGCGGTTGTTTTTAAAGGAGACACGCCTAGCACAACTTCAGGTAAAGAAGCTGGGAGCCTGCCGGAGTCATCTGGGCCAAGACTCCCAGCCCTGCCTTCCCTTGTGCCCCTCCGCACCCCTCAGCTTTCTGCTCCAGGAACCCCTCACCCCTGATCTTTGCAGGCTGGGTGCTAATGACCAGGGTGTAGTGAGCAGATGTGAAGATGTGGACGTTTTATTCCATCTTACTGTGTCAGAACTGGTCCTGGTGACCCACTTCTCTCCTGTCCCCAGAGCTCTCATGCAAATTATTATCTACTGGGCGGCGGGGAGGGGGGTGGCTGCTGTCGCCAGCCGCTGTGGGGCATTTATCCTCCCAGCCTGGGGACCAGGGAGCTGGTGACACATTGGCTAATGAAGGCAGGAGGCTGATCATGTGTCTCCCGCTGTGGATTTGGGGTAGGGGGGTGGATTTGAGCTTCAAACAGGCATCTTAAACATGCTGTTTTCAGCATTCAGAGAAAAACATATCAAACCTTTACGTCCCCTGGGTACAGATGAAAGATTTCCAGATATCTCTGCAGCCAGATTCCACATGGGCTGCAGTCGTGAGGATTCTTGTTCAAATAGGCTTTTTATCCATAAAGGTGAGCTTTGTCACCGTGCTGCTAATTCCCAGGGCATTATTTGTGTCCTCGACTTTTAGTTTCACAGGAGTTCTGGATTTCACGACTCTTTGGGGTCTGTGGGTCCAAAGAGCAGCTTGGAAAACACCCAGCTGTTGTCACACACATTCAGGTGGTTGGTCTTTGCCAGTTTCCGGCATTGGTTCCCGCTGCAGAGGCTGTCAGGGGGGTCCCTACAGGGGTTTTGCTTGCTGTGTCTGTAGGACTGCCTCATTGGGCAGATGTTATTATGAGGGGGTCCCTCCTGTGGGATCCTGCAGAGGGAAATGTTAGCAGGTGGGCTCAGCCCCTCTTGCCCTCGAAGGCTGGGAGGATTAGGTAATCTGTAGGAGTTGCTTGGGTTTGCTCCACACACATTCCAGGGCTGCTTTGCAGCTGTTCAAGGGACAGGTGCACCGTTGTGTGTTGCCCTTGATTAAATCCTTCTGACTCCTCGGCTGAACCGCTGCAGAGAGCTGGAGGCCGGATGGAAGAAAGGGGAGCATCCTTGCTTGCAGCCCCATGGTGGCCATGGGTGGGAGCTGCTGTGGTTGTCACTCCAGCGGGGGTTGGTATTTGTTTCTATAAAGTGACAGTTAATAGGCTTGGCTTTCATTCTAGCTTAAGTCTCTTTTGCCTGACACTTAGCAAGACCATGAAGATGTTCTGACACATTCCTGTATTTGGGAGTGAGGACCTAACTCATACCTGACATGGGCATATTTCTGAAATCATAAGCTGCTCGTCACTGGCCTGCTTAAGTGGACTTGAGGTTTCTGCTTCACTTTAGACCTTTCCCAGGGGCTCCTGGCCCAGCTGTGTGCACGGCCCTCTGCTCCTCTGCTGTGGCCTCAGGCAGGTGGTTTCCCGTGGAGTCAGCTGCTTTATCTGTGAAATGGGTCAAAGGTCCATCTAGTCAAGGCTATGGTTTTTCCAGTAGCCACATATGGATGTGAGAGTTGGACTATAAAGAGAGCTGAGCGCCGAAGAATTGATGCTTTTGAACTGTGGTGTTGGAGAAGACTCTTGAGAGTCCCTTGGACTGCAAGGAGATCCAACCAGTCCATCCTAAAGGAGATCAGTCCTGGGTGTTCATTGGAAGGACTGATGCTGAAGCTGAAACTCCAGTCCTTTGGCCACCTGATGTGAAGAGCTGACTCATTGGAAAAGACCCTGATGCTGGGAAAGATTGAGGGCAGTAGGAGAAGGGGGCGACAGAGGATGAGATGGTTGGATGGCATCACCAACGCAATGGACATGGGTTTGAGCAAGTTCCGGGAGTTGGTGATGGACAGGGAAGCCTGGCGTGCTGCAGTCTATGGGGTCGCAAAGAGCAGCTGAACTGACTGAAGATCTCTTCCAGCCCTCGCTAGCTGTAATTTGAACAGCGGTTCCCATTTGTGAAGAATGGAGTGATGGTCACCCTGAGCTAGTTCAGGAGGGGACCGTGTGGCCAGGCTTCTCCCGCCCTGGATCTGTGGCCCGTGCAGTCTACACACAGTCTCTGCGGGGGCTCATGGTGGGCGCTGAATTCCCACGTGTGCTCAGGTACTCTGTCCACACCTAGGCTGGAACGCACTCCGGGGTCCAAACCTTCAAGCATCTTGCTTAGGACATTTTCTGATTAAACACAATACCACCCTGCTTTGCATTTTAAATAATTAAGGTAGGTGAAACCTCATGTTTTTCCTTTCTAGCATTTTAATCACCTTCCTGATGCTTATTCATTTAAACGAATCGTCAGTGATGATGTGTCTATCACAGACGGCCTCCTCTGTAACAGCTGCTATTCTTCGTATTTTGGGAGAGATCTGCTGGAAATAATTGCTTCTCTTTCTATAGAGAGACTGTCTAGAGCTTTTCTTGATTACATGCAGAAGCAGGCGGGACTGGTTGGATGAGTAAAATGGTAAAATGAAACGTCGAGAATATTGGGAATCCCTTGTCTCATTTCCACCTGAGAGTGTCTGGCCTGTGCCTTTGGACTTGTGGTTTCCCACCTGCGGCATAGTGCCCCCAGGAGACGTCTGCCAGTATCTGCCAACTGCGGGGGTGCAGGGTGTCTGTGTGTGTTGCTACTGGCGTCCAGTGGGTTAGAGGTCAGCGATGCTGTTCAACAAGCATTCTACGATGCACAGGACTGTCCCCACCAACAAGGACCCAGCCCGGGATGCCCAGAGCACTGTGGTGGACGCACCCTTCTCTGGATGAAAGCCACATACCAGTCCCCTTTTGGAAACCTTTTCTTGAGTGTTTCAGGTAGAAATACTAGTGTCCTGCCTTTCTCTTACCCACCTCCTTCTTAACTCAGGTCACACTTTCCCCTGGTCCACTGATTCGTCTCAAACGCAAAATCCTCTGCGAGTCAAGTGTGAGCACCCTTGCACAAGTGTGGTGCCAACTGCCAGCATCTTGTCAGTCAGCAGTCACCTGGAATCCGCAGGAGGGCCCCCGGGGAAACCCTGGCTGGTGGGACACTGCATGGCTGGCTCTCCCACCCGCCTCTTTCCTGGCCCACCTGCAGGGGCACCCAACTCTCTGGCTTCCATGTGGGCAGAACTGCCCGAGTCTCAGATCTGATGCCTTCGGACAGGCGTGGACTGAAACGATGCTTTCTTCTGCGGTCAAACCAGGCTCGGTGGTGAGCAGTAGTGGTGACCTGGTTCCTCACTCACAAGTCTGGAGCACGGCTGTCTTGCCCGTTGCAGTTACGCCATGGGGGCTTCCTGTTAAAACTCGGGTGTGTGGAGCGCAGTCCTTCAATGTCTGTGTGTCCATACGCGTCACGTGGTCCCATCACTAGGCTGGCAGCGGCTGCACTGTTGTTGGTCCTTGAGGGAAGATGCTGCCAAGGTCCTCGGAGGCCCCCCGTGGTCTTTATCCTGCTGGATCAGAACATCCTTGCCTCATGGACTGAGCACCAGCTTCGTCCTCCTGTGATTCAAGGGTTTCCCACTCGAGTCCCACTTTGACCTGCAGTTTAGAAAAAGAGGGGCAGTGGGGTCCCTAACGAAGTCAGTCCCTGCAGGGTGATGGCCGGGGCTGAGCATCGCAGCAGATCCGAGATTTAGAAAGTCTTCCTACTGCTCTCCTCCACCTGACTTGAGTCTTCGGCCAAAAGAGATTGCTGGGGAATTGTTCCGGAAACCATGTGTGTCTTTCTTTGCTTCCTGTATGTGTTGGTCAGTCAGCCTGCTGTGAGAAAAGAGCCTGTCACAGGCCCCGTGACGGCGGGGAGGGCTCTCTGTCAGCTCCTGGGGGGTGGGCGTGCAGAGGCCAGGACAAGGTCGGGGGGGTGGCAGGCGGTTTCCGTGGCCCCCAGATGGGGTTCTGCCAAGATGCTGTAAAGGTGATGACTGGCTGGCATGTTCTGTTATTTGGAAAGGCAGCTCGTGGAGCAGATGGCTCTGCGGACTACCAGGGGTTTCCTTTTAAACAAGGCTGATCAGCTCGAGGAAGGCTTGCGAGATTGCATTTTCACGCAGGGATGTCTCATTTGTAGGCAGCTAGAGATGGCTCGGGACCGGAATGTCAGGGGAGGGTGGCCAAAGGACCTTTATCAGCTTGGGGCTGGGAGAACAACTTCAGCTGCCAGGTGTGATGAATGGGGGGCTGGGGGCGTAGATAGGGCCGGCCACCTCTCCCGGTCCCCCCTCTGCAGTCCTTCCCTCTCTGACACCAGCATCTCTGCAGTACCAGGGCTTTACTTGTCTGCCTGCCTGCTGCTCAGTTTTGATGTGGTGGTAAGATCAACTCCAGTCTCTGTGTCTTTTTTTTAAAAGCCCAAATGGTGAGACAGATATACTCCATGACTGGGAAAAATTCAAGAAGTAAGGGCCTAGAGGGGCTGCTTTAAAAAGCAACAGGAAGATGAAAGCGCCATGCCCACCTGAACACATGTAGTATAATTATTTTTATTTTTCAAAGGCAGGCCTGGCTGTGAGAAAGAGGATTTAGATTCTGGAGTGGCAGGTTCTGGCTGAGCCTTGGAAGAGCCCATGAATCCAGAGCAGTAGGGAGAAGCCATTCTCCCAGGTTTTCTGGTGCAGACCATCGGGCCTCACGTGGAATCGCTACAATTGGGGTGGGAAACGGGTGCTGCCAGTGAGTCTGAAAGCACCGAAAGACACACCGGCTGGAGCAGAAACAGCTCACTCCTTCAGTGCCTTGTAAGGTGGATCAAATGGAACCTTCTACTCTGCAGCCTGAGTCCTCCGACGGCAAAGTGCAAAACCCGGGCTGGATTTGAGACAATCACGGAGGGATCAGAAGGACCCTAACAGTCGAGTGTTGCTTGTTGTTTAGTCCCGAAGTCGAGTCTCTCTGTGCGACCCCCTGGACGGGAGCCCACCAGGCCCCTCTGTCCAGTGGGATTTCCCAAGCAAGAATACTGGAGTGGGTTGCCATTTCCTCCTCTGGGGGACCTCCCTGACCCAGCGATCAAATCCATGTCTCCTGCCTTGGCAGGTGGATTCTTGACTGCTGAGCTACCAGGGAAGCCCAACTGCGCAGTATTCGCATTCTAAAGAAATGCTGGCCACCCCCCTCCAATTATGGGGCTCTTGTGAATGCCGCAGATATCAAGATATATTTTATACCTTAATTATGGGCCAGCTGATTTCATGTTAAAATTCATCTCAATGTTTTGAAGTTGTCATGGTGAGAACAGATCCCAGGCTAAGTTCAGGTGTTGGATCCTGGTCCTAACAGAGATCTAGTCTCTCTGCATTGCTGAGTTTTAGTCTCTCTGCTTACAGACCTGGTGGACCTTTAGGTCTCGACAGCTCTAAGACTGGAGGCTTTCGCTGTCTCTGGGTTCTCGTCCGTTACAGGGTGCCTGTACCGTCCTTTCAGCATCCTGTCTGTGTGTTCCATTACTCGGATTTGAGAACTGCAGCCTTTTTCCCGGGTTTGTGCATTCTGGAGGTCAGAGACCTTGCCTCCTCACTGCAGAGTGCCACCGTGGATACTCCGTATATATATTTGATGAATAAATTCAACAAATGGAGCAATGAATAAATGAAGACTTGCGGAAATGTTGAGGTATCATTTGTGTTCGGTTAGTGTTAAATTCAGTAAAAGTCGCCATTTCTCTGATGTCCACAAAGCAGAAAGCTAACAAAATAAATGACCCTGAGGCATGGACGCGGGCATGGGCAGTGTGCGCCCCGGTTCTGCTCTCGGTGATGAGCTGTGTAGCCTTGGGAAAAGCGCACACCCTCTCTGAGCCTCCACATTCCCCTGACCTGTGGGTTCTGGAAACCTCGTTCTGGTAGATGACTCCTGCCCGGCTCTAGCGGTGGAGGTTGGTGATTTGTGGGTCTTATCGAAGCTGGCAAGACTGATCTGCCCGGGGTGCCCATCTTCGCAGTGAGGACATGTTAGAGGCGCCACTCCTGAATCCTCCAGTGCCAGGGGCAGGGGGATGGAGCTTGAGTCGATGATGGTGGTGATTGTGTCTAGGTAGAACCTCTGAGGGTGGTCAAATGTGTTTTAAAATACTTTTTAAAAAACGGTTCTTATTTTTTAGAGTAGCTTTTGGTTCATAGCAATATTTAACAGAAGGTACAGAGACTTCCCATTTATCCCACCCCCATGCCTGGCGGGCTCCAGTCCATGGAGTCGCCAAGAGTCTGACACGACTGAGCAACTAACACACACACACGCACACCCTGACATCAGCATCCCACCACCAGAGTGGTAAATTTGTACAGTCCATGGAGTCGCCGAGAGTCTTGACATGACTGAGCAACTAACACACACACACACACACACACACACCCTGACATCAGCATCCCACCACCAGAGTGGTAAACTTGTACAGTCCATGGGGTTGCCAAGAGTCTGACATGACTGAGTGACAGACACGCGCACACACACATATACTCCCACCACACACACACACGCACACACATGCCATCCCACACATCAGCATCCCACCGCCAGAGTGCTAAGTTTGTTACAACTGATGAACCAACACTGACACTTCATCATCCCCCAAAGTCCATAGTTTACATTAGGGTTCACTCTTTTTCAAAAAATTTTTTAAATTTATTCTTCATTGGAGGGTAATTGCTTTACAGTATTGCATTGGCTTCTGCCATCCAGCCACATGGATCGCCACAAGCACACGTGTCCCCTCCTGAGCTGCCCCCCCCATCTGTGTGGTCACGGAGCCCCCCGCGTTGAGCTCCTGTGCCGCTGGCAGCCCCTCCCGGGCTCTCTGTCTCACACGGGGGTGCAGGTACGTCAGGGCTGCTCTGAGCTGTCCCACTCTCCCCTTCCCCACGTGTCCACAGGCAGTTCTCTCTGTGTCTCTGCTTGCCCTGCACATAGGTTCATCAGTGTCATTTTTCTAGAGTCCATGTGCACGCATTAATATACACAATTTGTTTTTCTCTTCCTGACTTACTCTGTGTAATAGTCTCTAGGTTCACATTTTATGGGTGTGGACGAATGTGTGATGACATGTATCTATCATGCAGGGTACACGGTATTTTCACTGCCCTTAAAGTCCTCTATGCCATAAAGTATCTCTTAAAAAATAAACTTTTATCTCATCAAGTCCAAATATCTCATTTCACTGAGGTAATATTCAGATTTCCTAGATTATAACCTCTCTCCTACAGAGACCTTGATTCATCTTTATATCATCTTCCATGCCATAAACACAGTAAGTGCCCTGTAAGTATTAAAGAGATTAAAGAAGGGAAATCAACATTTGCAAACAGCTGTCTAATCCCACGGTCACACCTGGTCTGGCCTCCAGCACTTTTCCTAGAAATCACCTCTCTGCAGTCTTGGCATTTCCAGGCCTAGAGAAGGCTGTAGAAAAGCATCCAGTTTGATGAGACATTTTCTTTCTGAAACTTTCAAACAAGTGAACTGGAGAGATCTGTGTTCAGGACATCATGAAGAACTAATATGTGGATCAAGTTCATTGAATACTGTGCAGCGTTGGATAATACAGAGAACCAGTATCTAGAGAGCCAAGAAGTAGCTGGTGGGGGAAAGATGGCAGAGAAACCGACATTAGATATTAAAGGCAAATACTTGGTGCTTACACAGAATGCCTGCACATACGTCTTAGCTAATTCAGTCCTCACAAGAATGCTCAGAGTTTAGGTACTGTTTTTTTTGTTTGTTTGTTCCCTTTTCCATCCCTACTTAACAGGTGCAGGGCTGGGACAGGCCAGCCTTCCTTCTCCTCTTCCTCACTGGGTTCTCTTGCCTCTGACCTCAGACAGCAGATGCCTGCCTGTCAGGAGGTTTCCCTCCACTTTGGGAAAATGCTCCAAAATATTAATTAGGAGTGAAACTGCGGGTCCTCTGTTTGGAGGGCTCTGGTGTGACCCGCACTCCCATCGCCTGCCTGATGTTGCCTTCCTGGGCCCTTACCAGGAATGCATTATTGCTCCTTTGTAAAGTTAGGACCGGTACCTAAGATACTTTGTTTTTTAAAACAAGCCTTTTGCGTTGTATCTTCTTTAAGCACCTTGATGAGGATAGGATCTTCGTAAAAACTCTCAGGAGGTGACAAAGACCTCATATTTTGTTTTCTTTTGCAAAACAAGCCCTCACCGCCCCCTCCCACACTTATCTGCTGTCCCCGACCCCAGGCTCCGGTCCACGCGGCGGCGATCCACCCCGGAGCTTGGGCCCGGCTGCGCATCCGCGCGCCCGCCGCCGCCGCGCGCTCCCGGCACTCGGCGGCCGGGCTGGGCGCGCGGCCCACGGTCCCTGCTGGTCGGGCCCCCCCCCGCCCCACGCCCGCCCCGCCCCGGCGCGTATTTCCATTTTAAACCACCGCCCCTCGCCCGCGGCCCGCGCAGCTGCCCGCGCGTCCCGAACCCAGGGAGTGGCGGAGGCTGCGGACTCTGTGGACAAGGCCGGAGGATGCGAGTGAGCCCCGCGCCGTAGACAATGAAGCCGCAGGCGCCGCCGCCCGCCCGGGGACCCGCGCGCCGCGACCGCACCTGCCGGCAAGCCCGGCCCCGCGCCTGATCGCCCGCCCGGTCCCGCCAGCCCATGGCTCGGCGCCCCGGGCCGGGACCCCCGCACTCGGGCCGCGCGGCGCAGGGGCTGGCGGGCGCCAGGGGCACCGTTCCTGCAGCCTGAGCGCTGCCCCCCCTCGCGGCGAGCGGGGGGGCGTGGACCCTCTCCGGGCGCGCCCGCCCTCCCCGCCTCTCCTGGCGACGGGGCCCCGACCGGCGCGGCCCGGCGGCCCGCGGCGCGCTGGATGCGGCGGAGCCCTGGCGGGCGGCCGTGGCCCGAAAAGACATGTACCTGCTGGACGGCAGCGGCGAACCCGCGTCTCCGCCCGCGGACGCGATGCCGCGCGGGCCGCCCCCCAGGAAGACAGTCTACCGCATCTCCGTGACCATGGTCAGAAAGGAGCACCTGGGCGCGCCGGGCCCCGGCGGCTCCGACCCACGTCCGACTCGGAGGCCCCGGCCCGCGCGCTCCCCGGACGCGCCCAGGCGGCTCGTGGAGGAGGCGGCGGGCGCTGAGGACCCGGAGGACCACCGGCCGCCGCGCGCCTGGGACTTCCGCACCTTCCGCACCCGCAGCACCGGGCAGCTGGAACTCGGGCGGCTCCGGCCTTGCGCACGCGGCCCGGAGACCGAGGACCAGACCGGCAGGCCCCGGGCCATGGAGGAGGAGGAGGACGAGTCGGGCTCGCCCGCGCCGGGCAGCCCGGACGTGGAGGGGACCCGGGCCGCGCCCCTGCGGCGGAGCCTCAGCTTCAGGCACTGGAGCCGACCCGAGGCGCCGCGAGGTCGGGCCCTGAGCCGCGGGAGGCGCCACAGCAGCTCCGGGAGCCTGGCCTGGGCGTCGGGCGGGGAGGAGGTGGTCGACCCCGGGGCCGCCCTGGAGCCCGCGGCCCCGGGGCAGCCCCCCTCGGAGAAGCGCAACACCCTGGACGTGGGTGAGGTGCTCAGCAAGAACGACGCGCTCTCGGACCTGGAGCGCTGGGAGCGCAGCAAAAGCAAGAACCGCACGCTGGACAACAGCGACCTGCAGCGGCTGGAGCGCGCGCGGGCGGCGGCGGCGGCCGCGGGCCCCGGCACAGCGTCGGAGCACCGGCTGCTGCGCTTCTTCAGCGGCATCTTCGCGCGCAGGGACGGCGCGCCGGGCGGCGGGCCCTCCCCGCGGAGCGGCGCGTCGCGGTCGCGCGGCTACTTCAGCAGCCTGCGGCGGGCCCCGGTCGACGCGCACTCGTCCAGCGCAGAGAGCATCGACGGGTCCCCGCGCAGAGGTGGGCAGCGCGGCCCGGGAGGGAAAGGGTGGGCAGGGACCGGCTGGGGTCTCCACAGCGGCCTGCCTGGTAGAACACGCCAGGGCTCGGTCGGCAGCGATCAGGGACCGACCCTCCCGGGTCACTGGCCGGCAGGTGGCCATGCAGGAAGTGGACTCCGGTACTGCGGTCTTTTTGGTCCCCCTCCGCCCTACCCCCAAGTCGTCCTGCGGGTCTGGAAGTTCTTGACTGCCCCTGCCGTCGGCCGCGTGTGCTGGCGCCCTTCAGGGTCTGTCTCTGAGGCCACTGTGAGCCTGTCTGCGGAGACATCACCTTGCCCAGCGGTGTCTTCCTCCATGAGCTCGGGCTGTACTGCGTGTGTGCCGCCTGTGATACCCGTGGGCTGCCCCAGGGACCCCGGCTTGGCCCCTGAAGCCACCACGCAGGTGATGCTGCCTGGCCAGGAGAGGCGGCTTCCTCCCGCGTCCCAAGCCTGGTCTCTGCAGACGCCACCGTCTGCGAACGCGGCTGTGTGGCCTGGCTCACCCGGCAGCTCTCACCTATTGCCCTGCTGGTTAAGAGGGTTCACTCCAGCGGTCAGAGCTGGGTCTCTGCCCGCGGTCTCCCTGCCAAGTGGTATCAGGTAGTGAGAGCCCCTCTGTGCCCCGACTCTGTTTCCTGGGAATGTATGCTGGCATTCAGGCAGGAAAACCACAGCCCGACAACCTATTCTGAAATCTCAGTTCTCTGCTCTGCCAGAGGGCTTGCAGAGAAGGTTCTGGAGGCAGATGTAATACTCTCTTGAAAGAATCAACTGACCTTCTGGTACTTGTTCGGGAGTCAGAATCCTCCAGAAACAGCAAAACTCTGCATGCCTGGGCAGCACCCTAAAGGGAAGAGGCCGGGGGCACGGGGACGGCTGGGTTGTTGCCCCCTTCTCACGGGGAGGGCTGTGAGCGATGTCTGAGAATATCGTCGGGGTGTCTTTTCCACCACTGAGAAATCGTTAGTAATGTCCTTTCTGCTAATTACCAAACTCTGCTGCCAGTAGAGATGGAGGTGGGCGAAGCACTGTAGTGTGGATTTTTAATTAGAGGTTCTCAACTGCTAACTCACCACCCCTGGAGACAGTGTTCCTCTTTAGTGGACTTCACAGGTTAGCTGACTGCCAAGCCCTATATTAAAACCAGCCGACACAAAGAAACCACTGCCCTCTCTGAAGTTCTTTTTAAGGTAAACTGAAGCCAGGTGATGTCATGTTCCCATCCGCTCCGGTTCATCCTCAGGTGACGGAAGATGTTTGGAACCAAGCAGTCGAATGTGTAGTGTGTTAAAATCTGAATTTTTTGATTCATGAAGGTATAGCAGTTCTCTGTAGTTAACTTGCTGCACACACCTTTTGTTTTAACCTGCCCCGGAATTTTTTAGAAGGCACCGCATTTGACTCCCACCATTTTCCCATCCCTTCCCACATGCCCTTAAAATATTAAAAACAACACGAATTATTTCACTCACTGAAAGCTGAGACCCTTGGTTTGTAATAAGCTACCATTGCCGTCACGTGTGTTTGGTGGAGGTTCAGCTCTGCACGCAGGCAGTTCTTACTCTGATAGCAGGCTTGCATCTTTGTTCTCACGGGCTTTGTAGAAAATAGTAATTAGCTGCCCGAGTTCCAGACAAGTACACCTCCGGTGGGGGGAAGGCAGTGGGGGGCGTGGAGCTGGCCCACACACCACTTAGGAGGCAGATGCTCTGTCGTGGTGGCTATCCAGGCAAGTTAAAAGCTTTGGGGTTCGGGTGTCTCCTTTCTGGTCAAATGGCTTGATGGTAGGTTTGGAATAGTAAAGGTGTGAAGTGTATCGGGAATTTTTTTTCTCTCTAGGTCAGTATATAAAATAATAGCAATAGTAATAATTACACTTGGTTGCTTTGTCCCTGTGGTCCTTCTTACTCAGGGTGGAATTACTTTCATCTGAGAGTAACCCTCTAGCATTGTGTGTTGTGTGGGAAAAACCAGTGTTCGTGAACTAGATTAGAGGACGCGCAGTCAGAGCTCTAGGGCCTTATTTCACAGTTCTAGGTAATCACAGAACTACTTCCTTCACCTGTCTTTTGGCGAACAGGCTTGAAATGTAAGTGTTTTCCGGATTTTTGTAAGACCTGTATCTAATTCCAAGGAAAAGGTGCAGCCCCACCGCTTTTTGCTCTTCTCATTTTATCATACTTGCTTCCTGTGATGTAGATTATACAAAATTTAGGTGCTGTTTAAATGAGGTTTTGAATGTTGGGTAGAATTCTCTCGGGTAGCTTTCTGAGGCCATGGAACCCAGGCCCAGTCTCCCTGTGAACGTCCACAGCGGGAGGGTCCGTAGCGCCTTAAACCACGGAACCAGTTGGGTTTGCCAGACTTGGAAGATGAGGATTTCAGGAAGGTCAAGCGGTGTGTGTGGCAGAACACGGCCTGTGAGGTCGGGCAGCACCCTGTAATCAGACACTGACAAAGTGCAGCAAAGCTGGAGATGCTCACGCTCCGTGTGATAAATACGCTTTTCCACTGAGAGGCTGCTAAACATTTGTGAGTCAGGCTTCCATCTTCAGACCTATTTGGATTTCAGAGTTACAGGTAAGCTGTTGCAGACCTGTAACGTGATGTGTTTGCAGAGGAGCAGTCACTAGCTTTAAATCTCAGCCACTTTGTGGTAAACTTTGACTTCCTTTCAAGTGTAAAGGGCTTTAGAGGAGATTTGTCACTGGGGGCAAGCTTTCCTTTCGTTACATTCTTTCAGCTGTTAACTTTTTTTAATTTGGCCATGCCATTTCTGACCAGGGATCAGACCCCTGCTCCCTGCATCAGGAGTGCAGAGTCTTAACCCCTGGACTGCCTAGGAAATCCCTCAGCTGTTAAATTTTTGAATTGACTCTTGGAAAGGAACTTTAAAAGATTACCTGATTATTATATAAGTGGCCTCTTAGAGTTAATTTGCTTAGTCTTGGACCAGGTACCTTTGTAAGATGGTTAGAGTCAGATTTTAAGAATGCACACAGGTTCACACATCACATTGCTATGGATTTCTTATAACCTTAATTCAAGGCTTTAGGGTTAAAGATTTTTGAGTTTGAGCAAGCTCCAGAATTGGTGATGGACAGGGAAGCCTGGCGTGCTGCAGTCCGAGGGGTCCGCAAAGAGTCAGACACGACTGAACAACTGAACTGAACTGAGGGTTAAAGATGAAAAGCTCCTACTATTATGGGATGATTTCTCATACCCTAATGGTGTTGTCCATTGAGAAGGCTCTTCCCCTTTCTCCCGGTGATGTGTATCCATCGCCTCCCAGGGCTCCAGGGCTGTTGTCCTCAGATTCCTCTAAGGCAGCCCTGGAATGTTTCAGGGGCTCTCCTGGTGGCTCAGTGGTAAAGAGCCTGCCCGCCAATGCAGGAACCACGGGAGATGAGGGTTCGACACCTGGGTCGGGAAGATCCCCTGGAGGAAGAGGTGACAACTCACTCCGGTATTCTTGCCTGGAGAATCCCATAGACAGAGGAGCCTGGCGGGCTACAGCCCATAGGGTTGCAAAGAATCAGAGATGACTGAGAACTGAACACTGACGACAACAAGGAAGAATGTTTCAGAGAGGCCTTGTGTCAGATCAAGGGCAGTTTCCTGTTACTTGACATGGCATGTAACGGGGCAGAGTCTATTGACACCAGTATAATTTAATACAAAGGAAGATCAAATGATGAATGATTCATTAGGCTGTAGGGTGTCACTCGCTGGTGCTGGCCTGGCCAGCCTGCAGATACTCTTTGGGACCAGCTGCAGGCAATGCCAGGCCAGGGCCACACGTGTTTTCGGCGTGTTAAGTTGCTGTCTTGGAGGATTGATTACAACAATAAAGTGATTCTTTGATAGCCCGGACTGAGATTAGCTCTTTAAATCAGTCATTTACAACTGATTTTTGACAACACGTTTTGATGAGTGGCTTTGCTGTTTAATTTTTGATTCTCTTGATTGGCATCATTCAGTTTGTGTAGGCAGAGAGACTGTTTTATAGTTTGTTTTTTAAAAACCTTCAGTAGCGAGGTAAAGTGACAATGAAATGAAATGACTAAAATAACTTGATACAGTTTTGGGGGTACCTTTTTAAAATTTATTTTTAATTGGAGGATAATTGCTTTACAGTATTGTGTGGGTTTCTGCCATACATCAACCATGAATCAGCCATAGGTATACACCTGTCACCTCCCTCTTGAACCTCCCTCCTACCCCCCTCCCCATCCTCCCCCTCTAGGTTGTTACAGAGCACCTGATTTGAGCTACCTGCGTCAGACAGTAAAATTCCCACTGGCTATCTGTTTCAATGTGGTGATGTATATGTTTCCATGCTACACTTTGAAACTTGATTCGTTGCTGAGAAGGACATTTAGGGCTTTAAAGAAAGAGTGTCACTTGAAGTTTCTCGTTTGAGACATTTTGAACTAATTACATACTCAACATTTTGGAATTCACTTAAAAAATAAAAGTTAATGATTCCAGGTAGCCATTTAGGAAAATCCCCCATCATTTTAGTTATGAGGTTGATGACTCGTTTTCCTGGAGATGGAACGGTCCACCTGGGACCCGGGCAGAGCCTCGCTGGGCAGCCAAGGATGCTCTGTGTGTACCAGAAGTTTGGGCTGTGTCTTGCCATGTTAATGTTCTTTAGTTGGAGCCCACGTTTCAGCCTAGTCACCTGTCAGTGTCTTTCTTGATCTCAACCTGGGCTTGAAATATCCTGTCCCCAAAGGAATGTTCGACAGGGCCTCTGCTGAAGTATCCTCCAGTTTTTACATGGGCCCAGTGCAGCCATCTGGTTGGTTATACAGTTAAAAATGTTTGTAAGTATAAGACCCAACTATAAAGCACTGGTTCCACTTTGTATTTTTGGTTGTTTTCTTGTTCTGTTGCATTAAGAGGCATTTGAGTTTCTATCGTGTGCTCTGCAGAAAGCCAGGGCTTACTAGGGCACAGTTCCTGACTTCCA